TATACCGGAGCAGACGGAACTTGCTGCTTTGGCAAGGGGCGGGGCAGTACTGAAACACCGTCTAAGCTGTTCGCCAATCACTACGCACTGGGGCAGCTAACCAATCACAACACATTTCGTTTTTTTCGAAAGGCGGGCCTTCATTAAAACCCAGAACTAATCGAGCCGTTTGTCCAGGCTGGGGAAAAAGGTATTTTAATAATGTAAATTATGTGAAAAAGAATGCGTTTTTCGAAACACCAAGCATGAGAGCATGTTCTAGTACACCCCCAAAACAAAATCAATTCTTTGTACAAGAGCATAATAGGACCCCTTTAATAATTATAAAATAATTATTTCTGCCATAATTATTATAAACCACCATTTTACAGAAATAGTGTTTTCAGAATAACGTTAAAGTGGAAAAATATTGGTAATTCAGACCTCGCACTCATAGTTTTGATTAGAATACATCACATCCGGTCAGGCGGTCACATACGGTCTAGCCGCAGAAGTTCAAATATTTTAACGCATCCGAAGCTCAAATCGGATCCAAATTTTCCGCACACGCATATGATCGGAACTCCACGCTAGGCCTGTCACAATAACAACTTTTTGTTGTGCGATATATTGCCCCAGAAATAATTGCGATAAGCGATATTATTGTCATTTTAAAGATCATTTTATGCCACTGAATATATAATCATAATGTAACAGCATAATAATGCAAGAACTTGTATGGAGAATTTTTCCATCTACAGATTTTTCCCTGACCTTCTTTTCTCTGTAAGTGAAGGGTGCACACTATTGCTGAAAAACAATCACTACTTAGCAGACAGATGTCTGTCAGATCCCTAAACAAGGCCATATCTGCAGATGAAATTTTTTTTGTCGAAGCTTTTTTTAAATTTGAAGTAGCACCTCATGACTACACCACGTTATGTACGAGAAGCTGAAAACAGCCGCAAGTGGAATGTACAAAACATTGTGACATTAATTTTTAAGTAAATATAATGTGCGATATATTGCATCACCAAAAATGATTGAGGTCATGTACATATATTGCGCGATAAGTTGATATATTGATTATTGCGACAGGCCTACTCCACGCAGCTCCCGCACTACTCTCCATTGGAAATGAATGACTTCCGGACCGTTCGGTACCGATACTCGTATCGGCACATCCCTACCCTGTCCCCCTGTTACAGAAGAACAGAAAAGCAAGCATTGGGAACAAAAAACTATTTCATTTAGCACAACCAGACAGCCAAGGCTTCTTCTCATACCATGACCAGGAAAATGTTCTATTGAACGACCTACCATTGTCCTTTGTTTGCTGTACAATTTTTATATCTGGTTTGTCGGGGCCAAGCTGTTTGATCGCTAATTTCTCACTAACTGACAGTCTCTCAAACGAGTTCTGTAACAGAAACTCGACACTATTACACGCAGGATGATCTGTACTAGAGTCCGACTGATATATTGTTTTGCCAATATTATCCGATATATCGGTATCGGCTAATATGCCGCCGATATGAAATTTTTTTTACAGAACATATAACGCAGATAAAATGCTTGAAATGGTGTAATTACTTAGTTTGTATTGTTTGCTACTGGCGACCTGGATGAAACGCTTTAAAGCTTAAATCTATGGAAAACCATTTAAACTTTGAACGGCAATATCTCCGTAACAGCGCTGCGAAACCGCAACAAATTCGGGGATCCCTTCAGCTCGAGGAACCCTCTTGAATGCCGAATCGAGTGTACGTCTAGAGGCCCGCTTTCGAATGAGACCACCCCCGCGTCGATACCTGGCGGGGGCTACCGACACGCAGAGGGTGGCGTTCGAGAGGGATCCTCGAGCTGAAGGATCTCCCGCATTTGGTGGAGATCCGTCGGCGCGTTCACGAGATAGTGACACCAGTCAACACTTTCACTTCAGTAAGGAGATCTCTTGTTCAGGCAGCAGCATTCAAGCGTTGTCTTATTCGACCATAAGTGCCCTGCGAAGTGGACTTCACATGAAATTCCGCCATGATTCCAGTTCCAAGGGAACGTACACGTTACATTCAAAGGGCATTAAAGTGCGCGAGACGTGAATTTATATTGTATTTATTTACAGAGGTATATTATGTCACACTTCACACTTAACACTCTAGTAAGTTTCGTCTGTGTGTGAAGACAGTAGCATATTCCTGTCACGTCATTATAAGTGTTTGATCACCACATTTGAGTGATCATTGCAAAAAATGTGTTTATGTATATATATTCTGTTTATGTATATACTGTATTCTATATATAGTACCAGTCAGATGTTTGGACCCTGGAATGGGAAAGTGTGCAAACTTTTGACTGGTACTGTACTATAATATACACAAAGAATATTGGCCGATATATCGATATCTGCCTTTTTTTACTCCCTAATATCGGTATCGACACCAAAAAACCCATATCGGTCAGGCTCTAATCTGTACCACTCGCCATCTTCACGGTCTGATGCGTTTGGTTAACTGACACAGACTCATATACACTTGCTGATGCGGATTGATATAATATTGTCCGGAACTACATTTATGTAACGTAAAAGCAAGCAAGGCAGTCTCGTATCTGCTCATATGTCTCTAAATTAGAGCACGCTGCATTTCCATTTTTCACCACAAATTTATATTGAGACAATGTGTGGCACTGTTGAGCTTGGGAGGGCAGCGAGACCCGCTGCCCCGCTTAGTACAGTCATTAATATACATCCAACCTGTCAACCGAAGCAATGTGCTAAATTTCAACATATACATCTCACTTTATGACTTAAAACAGTCTAGAAACTCCGAAAATATTTTTGGAATAATGATGAACATTTTTGAGTTAACAGTTTAGGACTGGTTCAGTTTATATAGAGTTCTATGTTTTTAAGTGGCTGAATATTTTGGTGGGGCTCTGCAATGGAAATGTGTTTTGTAAAGTAGGGCTACTGTTGTAAACAAGATGTTGCGCCCTCTGTTGTGTGGTCAAAGTAGTGTGGAACAAAGCAAATCTCCTGAAGGACACTCTAACTGACATGAAAATGCAAATATACACCTTTTCACCTGCCAATAAATAAGTCAACCATTATAACGTCTCCCACCTAACCGATCTAAAATAGAAACACAATTAAATGAAGCCAGATTAAACTTCAGTCGATTATCCTTCAATAAAAATGTGTGTGGTTCCACACAGAGTAATAATGTTGCAAACTAATACCTGCACAAATATTTAGCCGTGCAAATCCCTACCACACTTCCAAACCATTTAAATGGACTTGAAAATTATATTTGAAAATCAAGCAATTTGTAGTTTTCTAAATTCTTGCCCTACGGTCAAATGAAACCTGAATTATCCACTCTGCGCAAAAGATGACAAAACGTGAGCTCTTTGAAAACAATAATGCAAATCCTTTAAACCCACACAAGAATAATCACTTTGAGACTGATCTGACCTAAACAACCAGTTATAAGGCAAGCGGACTGTTAAGATTAATAATTTAACTGACTGAGGGTCTAACAAACAAACTGTGGCAAACACATATTGACAGAGCAAAAGGCACCTACGTACGGAGGTGTCACAACCTGAAGCACATTAACAGAAAGATTACAATGGGAGGCAATACTCACGTGGCTTCTGGCCCCATACGTACAAATGGAGCTTCCCAGAAGAGTAGTAGATGAACCCCAAGACCAGCATGGGACACAGGACGAACAGTAGTTTGTGTGCAGCCTTCATGTTCCTCAACCATTCACATGGTACCGTGTTTTTATATCACCTAGGAACAGGACAGAAAAATCCAGGGAAGCTGAACACCATGTTCACAGCATGCAGTGAAGCAGACAGACTCTCATTATTAAAGGTGGTCCTATTATGCTTTTTTTACATTTTCACCTTCCCTTAGTGTGTAGTGTTGCTGCTTGAGCCTGAAAAAGTTCTGCAAAGTTACAAAGCGCTATCAAAAGGGTGACGTGCGACAAGCTGTCTGACAGCCTGCTTTCTGTGCTCATTCTTTGTGTGTGAGCACTCAGAAAACCGTATATAAGGAATTTAAACTGATGAGGCTTTAAAATATAAGCAGATGTTTTGCGTGTTGTTGTCGGAGTAGCCAAGACAAGTTTTTGCATTTAAAGCAGATTTTTTGCATTTCAAGAGACAATGTCTTAAATGAGTCATGGAATCATTTGATTCGTTCAAAAGGACTGATTAATTCAGGAACAAAGTGACTTTATGAATAGGTAAAGTAATTGAATCCTTCGCTCGTTCCAAACGCGGATTCATTCAGGAACCAAACACCCGTGTTACTCTGAGATGCGCAACACTTCTGCTGTGGATTTATTTGGAACTATTTTTGTTTTTTGATATAGAGAAAAAACAGACAATACGGTCTCTTAGTCACTTAATACTAATAATTTCTTGTTTCTGAACTGTATAAAATCAATATCACATTTACAATCTAATATTTGGGAAAACAGCTCTCTTCCTCTAATATTGCTTAACTAAATGTAAAAAAAAAACAAGAACCCATACATAAAGAAGTCACTGGTAAATATCACTGTGTGAGAAAACAGACTTGTGGAGTGAGCATGTGAACAGTGTCAACTGTGTGAGTCTCATGCTCAATGATGGCAGCCCTGGGCAGTCCATGCATGTGTGTCTGCATATTTGTAGTGTTGTGTTTAGGGGTCGACTGATATGCGTTTTTCAGGGCCGATGCCGTTATTACAGATCAAGTAGACGGATAACCGATATTTTGAACCGATATATATGTCTGGAGTAAAAATTAAAATTAATGTCAAAATTAAGAATAACAAGGGCTCTGACAAAAACTGCCTTTCCTGGTGTTGGTTGAGTGTAGTACTCCCACACTGCACTTCTTACTTTTGTCTTCCTCTGTGCATCCATCTACAATAAGGGTAATATAAAAAGATACTGTGCAGATCTTAAATAAACAATGTCAAGATATGATAGTCCATTATTCTGTAAATGAAGTAGATTTAATATGGTGTTCATTGTGTTATAAATAGTCATACTCTTAAACTTATAACCACAAATACGTAAGTATTATGATGTATTATAACTGTTGTTATGATTATTCATGAGTTGATATAACATATTATACGGTTTTTTATAATGCATTCATTATAATACCTTAAGAATACCCTTATAATGTATTATAAATACGGGCTTCATAGAAAGTGTTACCGAATATCTCTTTGGATTTGAGACTTTATTTGAACTTTACAGATCTTCTTTATACACCAAGAGCTTGTAACACTTCAAAGAGAAAGGGAAAATTGAAATCGCATCATATGACCCCTTTAATTGTCTTCACAGCTATATTGTAGAATTTGTTAAGAAGACTGCAGCCTTTTACAGGCACACTTAGTTCAATAGCCTATTGAAATGTCTTGGCCTATGTGACACTAGAAATTTCAGTTGGTTTTAATTTACAGTAGGCTACAGTGCAAATGAAGGCATAAATCAGTTTAACCCTCTGATGCATGAATTATTATATCACAAAGTAATATTTTTTTTTAAGTTTGGTTTTACTTTTAAACAATTTAAAAATCATGCCAATAACTTTTTTTTTCAATATATTTTATTTTGAGGAAGTTACAGATCTATGTAATTATGCATCAGAGGGTTAATTTATCTTTTAATCAAATGAGAGTTAAACTCTTTATTTTTTGGTGAGGAACTTTTAAGTTTCTGTAGCTAGGGCTGTCGTCAGGGCCGCATTAACCATTGGGCTAAGCGGGGCTGAAGCCCCGGGGCCCGGACAAGGAGGGGGCCCGTGATTGGCTGTGGAGTAGATTGACTGGTCATCGGTAGCGCCGATTGCCAAAGCCCCGCTCCACACATATTAGCTCTATTATTTAGTGGAGCTTTTCCATATATTCCATGCATTACCGTTAGAGATTGAAACGTCTCGTTCGTTGGTTTACCAATCAAATGCATTTATTCTATATTTTCACTTTTTAACGACCCTTGCACCACGTATCAATCAGGTGATCGCTGCAATGTCCGCATTCACCTCTCTTCACTTCCTTCTGGCATAACCTGGAAATGGTGATGCCATTACATATTTTACATATCTTCGATAAGTAAAAATGTAAACTATTCTAAAAAGAAAGTGAGAGAGGGGCTATTTAAAAAAAAATGAGGAGAGAGGGGAAAACATGAGTTAATGAGTCAGTAAAATCTCCATCAGGTTATTTTACTAAAGCTAGCT